TCTTTTGATGTCGTCCCTTAATTTGTCTGATAATTGTTTCGAGTCAAAGCAATTGATAAAAGTCTGGATGCAAATTTTGTGAAATGTGTATATGTACTGTGGTGACCTCATCAAATTTAACAACACAACAGCCTATGATCATGCAAAAAGAGCACAAACATTGTCATACATTTTGTGTGAAATTGTTCATAATTATCACAATTCCAATATGTTACATCAAGCCAACAAAATCGGATAGTGGACTCGCATTATTATTTCTGGACAAGTTTTTGGTACTACATTTTTCACGTGTTCTTCTATAGTTCCTTTTTTTGTCAATTTTGGATCAAAATTCTGGATTTGATCAAAAGTTTTGAACAAAATATGTAAAAATTATTAGACAGGTTTATTTTGTGAATAGTGCCCAAGTTCTGAGAGAAACAATGTTAACCAATTATGTTGTCAACTTTACAGCGGAAGAGTTTGATGTTGTTCAAAGAGATGTTGCTGATATGCTCAAGGGTCGTATCTTGGTTGGTCACGCATTGAACAATGATATGAAGGTGAATATCTGCAGAATGTTTACAACATTGTCTCTGATTGACTAGTTATTCATAATATTATACATAAACGCCAATCAACAATGATGTACTTTACTCATTGAATTTTGTGATACTTTTTTTCTGTATATGTGTTCGCATCTTTTATAATATACATGCGCCTAAAGGCAGATTTTCGGGGTTTACATTATGTAAGTTCCAGCTAGTGTAACATGTTTCACTCACTCAAATTAGATTACCATATTTACCCTGTTGGTATCATATGAGCTCACGTAAATAACATGCATGTCTGTGTGGCCAAATAAAGGCATATGTTACTGCAGTCATGCATTTGTTTTGTACACCAAGCCAGTAATATTGTCAGCTAATTGTCTGCATGTTGTCAGTGTTGCCTTCACATCTGTATACTGGCATTCTGAAAGTAGCATTGCCTAACAATATTGCTAACTAAGGTGTACATATTTGCAGTCACAGTAATGATCTGGTACACAATAAAAACAATTTTATGTTTCTATTGGAGATATACTTCTAATAGAACAACTATGGTTTGTGCATGTTTCTAGATGTTAAGTTGTTTGGTGTCTCTTTCAGGTCTTGTATCTAAGTCATCAGAGAATTAATGTGAGAGACACTGCAAGATACAAGCCGTTCCAGAAAATAATGAGAGTATGTATATTATAGACATTGCCAAATAACCGGATAAGGTTTCAGTTTGTTTGAGTGATGAAATCTCTAGCACCTGTAGTAACACTGATCTAGTTTGGTTTGGCCATGTTTTACCTTCTCACTTTTTTGCCCAATTATGTCTGCACTTTTTTCTTATATTCTTAAAAGTTTCTGGAAATGAACCCAAATTTTGAAGCCAAACAGACATAATTTGTGTGAATTTTCAGATTTTACTAAAACAATTTGGCTATTTTTGTCCCAATTTCTGATGGAGAGCACAGGACTATTATGTGAAATTATGATGAAAAAAGGAACTGGTAGTGAAAAGGTTAACCTTAGAATAACTTTTGCAATTGGCATAGGTCATTACTAAATATATGCAATATTGCAGTGAACATATATTTTACCAAGGATTTAGAAGGATATGCAATACTCGCAAGAATTGAAGAAGTCGTGCAAATTGCGAAATCACAAAATTTGCAAGACAAATCAATGTTGCTAGAATTTGTTATGCAAATTAGAATCTGTGAAAACAATGATTACAGTGTTTTTGGCGGAGTCTTTGCATATTCGCAAAAGGGTGTAGCTACATGTGTATTTTGTATATGACCATAATCTCACTCATTTCTGTATAAGTAATTGAACATTTCCATGCACCCACTGTGTTCTGTGGGTTGATTAAAAATACACTTGACCAGCATTAATTAGGCAATGTTTTCAAGTTCACAAGTTAAAAATCAGATATAACGAGAGTTAGTTTCCAAACTAATCTTATGCATTTTCGACATGAATCAATCTGTTCAATTTCAGACGAATAGACCAGGTTTGAAAAAATTGACTAAAAAGATTCTTAAGATGGATGTACAGCAGGGCGAACATAATTCTGTAAGTAGATTTTATTCTTTATGGACTGGATACGGCTTTTGCGGCCTGAGGTTGTGCGATGGAAGCTTGCGAGGGTGCGTAAGCTGTACGACCGAGGACATATGTTAGACAAATATCTATTATTCTATTTGACCACAATGATTGATTTTGATGTATTTTCAAAATTTGTAGGTTGAAGACGCACAAGCTGCTATGAAATTGTACATGTTGCATAGAAAGGAATGGGACAGTGTAGTGAAACGAGCAAGTATTAAACAACAAACGTGGAAGAAGAAACGGCGATGATATCTATTCATAAAAATCTGAAATTTTTTTATTTTCACTTCTTAAAAACATGTGACTTTGGTAGAAGCTACTGTTACAAGGTCAATATTAAAAGAATATTTTCTATAATGGTTGTGTATATTTCTTTAATTGATATTCCAGACAGGACCTAGGAACTCTAAATAGAATTTATGACAGCAGATACCCCTCCCTTCACTCACTTACTGGGATTTTAAAATGAAAAATACAGAAAAAATTAACATTTTTACCAGGTGAAAATTGTCATTCCATTCTTAAATAACTAGGCGACAAAAGAGACAGGTTTACAAAATATTTGGTAGGCAGTTGGGGTTCTTATTTTATTTATATTTTCCACTGGATTTCTTTTTCAGTCCCTGTTCAGGCACAGTCAGGGACTTGCGCGTGCTTCCATGCATCTGTATGTCTACGAGTCCATATCCAGTGGTAATTTTACACATGCTTTGACTGATTATGGTCAAACTTCATATGTACATCAGATATTATATCGGCCATATGTACACGAGTTTATTTTAAAAATTTGAATGTACAGAAATACTGATATGAAATGAGTTCAACAGATTCTAAAAGTATGTGTACTTTAAAAGACTGTATATAGTGCTAAATCTGGACAAAATGTTATTTCCTTTGGGGGAAAAAACACTTTTAGTCGGTTACTATAATTGACCAACAAATTCTCGTGTTGGTATGCTAAGTGAGTAGCTAAGAGTAAGAGACACAAATGGCAGCTGATTTTAATGCACGAACTGGTACGACAAATAATGATTTATTTTTTTGTTTTCACATAACTCGTATTCACTTCCGGTGCAATAACAACTGTCTCTTGAGTCGAAATGCCCAAGACTTTCGGCAAGTACCCTTTGGTTCATTTTTTTGGTCCCCATTCAGACGCAGTCCAAAAATGGGTTCTGACTTCTGTGCGTTAGTGTGTCCAGGTGTGCGTCCGGAACTGTATTTTAAACATGCCTAGACGAATCACAATCAAACTTCACACGTACATCATAAATAATACATGTATTATACATGTGCACATCATTTTGTTTCATGATCTGATTCATGGTGGCCATTGTTGTGCTAAAAAAAACCATCAAAATCGGGCATTTATTGATGGATTTTGTTTAAACTTGGTACATACGTTGGACAATATGGGACCTTGATGCACATCATTTTATTTTTCAGATCCAATTTAAAATGACCGACTGGTGGCCATTTTGTTTTAATGAATGCAGTTCTATTTCTATATCTTTGCCATGCTTTGAGTGATTATGTTCAAATTTTATGTATTTGTTTTACATCATGGTATAGATGTATTCTAATGACCGACTCATGACCATTTTGTTTTAATTAATGCTGTTCCAGAGCAATATTTTTCAATATGGACAAGTACTCGTTTGACGATCAGATACCTGATGTCAATCATTTTAATGTTAAAAAATCATCATAATCAAGCATCATCTTCTGGATCCATACTCTTGACATGTTTATGTCGAACTATATTACTATAACTAAATTTGATAACTAACAGGGACTGTGCCATGCATGGCTTGTCTTTTTTTCAATTCATTTGGAATGGCTGATACCAGTCCTAGCCAAGTTTTTATAACAAGGAGAGATTGTTGGCTTATAGTTTGCCAGGGTATTGGAATCATAGCCAATGAAAGGATTTGATCTGTAGCTGTATCAACCAATTGAACTAGAGGTGAACAACCTTTTACTGATGGCATATTCTTTATTTGCTGTAACGTTATATGCACACCGTAATATCTGGCGTAAGATTAAACACACTCTCAGTATCGATTTTAAGTTACTGAAATTACGACTCAATTGCAACAATTTCAATGCACATCAAGTTGGTAATAATAAATGTATTAATACTGGATATGATGAATAATTTGACCTTGCGTTGATCAAGATGGCTGGTAAAATAATCAGCTGTACCAGTTAACGAGTATTCGCTTGTGTATCAGTACGCAACATACATTACAGTTATGGATGCAGGGATAAAACTATAACAATGTGTGGTATTTAACTAATCGCACGAACTATGTATGTTACGCCCATAGAGAGCGCTGCTAGCAGAATTTCCCGTGAGCGAAATAACTGCACTATTAAAATCAGTCACAGTATCTATCGTTTTGTCTGAAGTCTTCAAAACGTATCATATTAATGCCCAACAATGTTTTTTCATTGCTCCACAGTATTTGATTTCTATTCCCTCGGTGAGATTTCGTTTCCCTTTTCCAAATATCTAAACAGTTATTGACAAAGTTACTCAACCGCACCGTCGGCAAACTTGTTTTGTAATTACAGCTGAAGATGAAATCCCCACGAACAAGTTTGAGTTGTTGATCCAGAAACACCTTCCATGGAAGTTCAATATATGGGCTTAAATAGCGTTTTATCCATCCATTATTAGACCCCTTTACCGATCATTGAATTTCTCGCTATCATATCCTATCCAAATTTGTAAATTATTTTATGAGTGTCTTGAGTAAAAATATATGTAAATTGTGACATACCAAACGTCTCTGTACTTTATAATTTCTTTCTTTTCCATTGGTTTAATATAATTTTTATGTTGCTATTTGACTTGTACATGTTCAAACATCCTATAAGTTCTCTTCTTTATTGTATGAGAAATAAATTCCCACAATCTTGATCTGTGATGTGGGCCATATTACCCCAAACTTTACCTCTTTCTTGCTTATCCACTTCCCCAGCCACGCTCCTTCAGTTTTTCCCAATTTACTTTAAACATTGAGCATCTAGGAAAAACCTAAAGCAAATAAAAACACACTGATCGCTAGCATTCGGCACTCAAAACTTCCAACCGTAACCGAAACTTCATGAACAGCATTCTTTTTTTTGCCTAAAACGTAGGTACATTGTAGACGCGTGTCATTGATAATACAGTGTAACATTATGAGATATATGAGATTATAACACATAATTATATATACACATTAATCGTAGGATTCACAGTTAATTCGTCCCTTCACATTCGTTCCATAAATCAATTCGCCCTAATTCACATTCGTTCCAATGAACTTTCGCCCATTCCCTTTGGTTAGTAGTGCGATCCTGTGCAGTGTGATGTTGATTTCTATGTTGGTATGCCAGTGGTTGTCAATTTCGACGTACGTGTGTGTACTAGCTCTTGTCGATTACTACCACGGGTTCAGCCAACCGTGTTTGAAATATGAATAACTTGATTTGACGATTGACGAATTAACAAGTTGCATGTGATACAATAAACGTGTTTGAGGTGCTGTCGTATGCACGACAAGTGCGTGACTATAAGATGCTATTTGTTGTTCGGATCTATTTGGGTGTATAAGGACGAGTTAGTATCGGGCTAACCTAATAAATCGACTTTGGACCTGACTAATAATTTGAGACGATTAGACCGACCACCACCGAATTGTATGCTATGTACTCTACACCCATTTCCACTTTGAATGAATATGATTTGGAAGTAATAATTCCAAGTGTCTAAGCATTAAATGTTGCTGTCGAACATCGTTTCAGTTAGTTCTAAACATTGCAATAATTTAACTTGACGGAAATTGTTCAAATTTATCAATATGTATTTTTGAGTAAAATTTGATGAAATACGTAGAGAATAAATTTATAACATTAACTAATGGGGGGGGGGGGTTCTACCACATTTGCCCACTGAGTGGATGTTTTGAAATAATATATTCTTAACATCTGGCAAGTACGGTATCGCGAATTGCGATAGGATGTTTGTTTACTTTTTTGTTAGCATTACGTCGTACGTAGACGTTGCTGTGAGTTTCATATTGAACATGACACAACAACCACCGTCCTTTAACCTACATTCGGTCAGAGTTGACTTTTTTAATTGCCTTCATTAATTCATTGAATTCGCAGTTGGCTTATGACTATCAAGGACTTTTATGACACGTATTTTGCAGTGAAGCTAGCAATGAGAGTATACAACATCGGAGAGGCTATTGTAGTCAACCATAATACAATAGACAAGTATTTCTCTGTTTCGAGGCCAGTAACTCACCATGATTATCAGTTAGCATTGGAAGCGGTATATTGTTCACACATACAGTTATCAAAGATGTTTTGCCACTGTAGCGCAAGTTAATGATAAACACACATTCTTCCTCATAACTATCACCTTCGTTCTTGCTGAACAACTAAGTCTTTAACCTTCTTTGGAGTTCTGTTATCTGTTCATGATTTACAGACCTTTGCAAAGTGACTTATTTTCATAACGAATTTGCAGGTCTTACTTTCTTCGGAACATGCGTATATATGTTTCTACAAAACTAATATTTCTTTTTTTCTCGTATGTTCTCTCATTATCGACGTTTATGAGAGCGTGGTTTGCGGTATTTCACTGCTTTGTCAGAAGCTGTTCTATTATCAGGTTTCTCCATACCCAGTGCTTATGATTCAATTATTATCATGTAGTATGTGATTTGGAGATATTGATATATGACGAAATGTGTACCACTACGTTATGATCAATTTAATTTCACAGTGTTGAAGTTATCTAATATGAAATTATATACTGGCGGGAAAGTCCGGGTCAGAATTAGCTTGCTGCATGTCTGATGGAGCAGACCTGTTACAGGCCTTAGAGAATTGGCTTGCTGCATGTCTGATAGAGCAGACCTGTTACAGACCTGATAGAATTAGCATGCTGCATGTCTGATAGAGCAGACCTGTTACAGACCTGATAGAATTAGGATGCTGCATGTCTGATGGAGCAGACCTGTTACATGCCTGAGAGAATTGGCTTGCTGCATGTCTAATGGAGCAGACCTGTTACATGCCTGAGAGAATTGGCTTGCTGTATGTCTGATGGAGCAGACCTGTTACAGACCTGATAGAATTAGTATGCTGAATGTCTGATAGAGCAGACCTGTTACAGACCTGATAGAATTGGCATGCTGCATGTCTGATAGAGCAGACCTGTTACAGATCTGATAGAATTAGCATGCTGCATGTCTGATAGAGCAGACCTGTTACAGACCTGACAGAATTAGTATGCTGCATGTCTGATAGAGCAGACCTGTTACAGACCTGATAGAATTAGCAT